GGGTTAAGTTGCACTTAAAGCAAAGAGATCATGATCCGATTGAACTCAGTAAATGCAAATAAATATTTTCATTTATGACTTACGTATACACTGAGGAAGTCCAGGTGACCATTGACCATTTAGCCCACATATCACAGTAGCGGATCCATTCATTGTGTATCCAGTGTTACACTGTAATTTGACTGTAGACAGGTGTCCATATGGAGGTCGAGCACCGCTACTCCACTGTCCAAATGAAATGTCTGGATCTCCACATTCAACCTCTGCAGGGAAAGAAAGTAGACATTGGTCAAACATTAGTCAAAAGTGACCTTTTCCACAATATGTATTAGCCTAATTTATACTACACAAGAAAAAGCAGAGAACAAGTTTTTGAAAAAAAATTTCAAAACACTTACTGATACATCTTGGAGGCTCAGGCTTGAATGTTCTATCATCCGAACAATGCAACTGTCTTGCTCCATCAACTGTATAATCCTTTTTACAGGTGTACTGTATAACTTCATTATATTCATAGACATCTTTATTTGGACTGAAAGAGCCATCCTGCACTACAGGTGGTGATGCACATTTTGTCACTGGAAAATAAAAATAAAAATCTATCAGAATGAAAACAAACAAGCTTTTAATCAGGGGACTTGTATTAAGACAAGACAACCAACCTTCACATACAGGAAACCTGCCCAACCACCCTTGGTTTCCACAAGTACGCTTTCCTCCTCCAACTGGCGTATGACTGATTGGAGGGAAAGAGACTGGTTTAGAAATTTTATTTCACATGACACAGAAGACGACGTAAACCCGACCCGACACTCATTCTGATTTATTTATTTGTTTTTTAAAATAGGATAAATTGCAACATTTTAGTGATTTAATATGCTACTACTAACTTCAATCTGAAAACTAATTATCTAAACACTGTTTATTAGAGCTAACATTGTATTACTAACCCGGGGTTACAAATGATCACTGCTGTATCACCAAATTCAGTCCCATTAGGATATTCAATGTGTCCATTTTCAACTTCCTCCGCAGGGCCACAGTTGTACCCTGAAACAAGAAAAATAAGGATTAAATTGGTCCTTTAGGACTTTTGTGATAGTATGTGTAATTATCTCACCAAATATAGTTTACTGTTTATGTAACATGTATATGTGAGTAAGACATTTTCTAGAGGTAGAGTTTTTTTTTTTTTAAACACAAATTTTAAGAATGTTACCAGGATAGCGAGTAAATTCTACCTGACGCTCATTCTCATGTGCTTAAACTGGCTGTGAAATACAGCAGCTACAAGGAATTTGAATTTAAAAGCAAGTGTTAATATTCACTCTCGCATTTCAACCGCACAGGACTCCAACTTCCAGCAGTACAAGTAACACTTGGGGAACCTCCTGCAGACACATATCCAGTATTACAGGCAAATGTAACTGTGGTCCCATCTGGGAAACTAGTTTGAAGAATGGCATTGCCCTTTAAATCCATATTTTCTCCTTTAGGAGGACTGGAACAGCCTTGAGCTGTACATGAAAGAAAAAAGAGAAAAAAAACATACAGACAAAAAAAGAGAGAAGAGAATTTTAAGAACAGGGTAACCCAGGACAAACACCATGCTGTGCTTACAGTGTCTCAAGCTTCTCCGCACTGCACTCACCTTGAGCATTAACTGCAAAAAAGCCAAGACTGCTCAGCAGAAGGACTGCAGTAATAGCCATGACAGGATCTGACAGGTTTAACTAAAACCAAGAGCCCTTTCTGGTACAAAACAAAGGCAAACACAATAAAGACAACCAGAGATATTACTTGGTCATGATAGCTGGTACTAACAAAGGTATTCCATTGAATCAGGTCTGTCACTGCTAACACATTAACTAGCAGAAGGTAGCAGGTGCAAACATTCGGTCTTCGGTCAAGTTTATATATTTCCCTAAACCAAAACCTTAACAGTAACCAAGTTTAGGTTTTAAAAATGAAATATTTGAAAATACTGCCTCCTCTCTCCCTTTGTCGCGGCAGAAAACAAACCTAAAGTCTTTCCATATTTTACAACTTGAAGGCCACGATAGCTTCGGCTGGCCGATCAACATATGTTAAACTAAATGACAGGTAGGTACGGGGAAAAAAATGGCCGTGAATTCTCGCAGGTCACGTATGCTGCTCTCGGTCTTCCTGGAGCCAAAGATACCGTGAGTGGTAACACATCACATTAATAATCGCGTAATTTAGCTTACAGGGGGGTTAAGAAGATGTCACTGAAAGATTTAAAAAATGCTGACTCCATCTGAATGTCTGCAATTTGGTCAAAATCCATAAACTGTTAAATCGCCTTCGGCTGCGTTAGCTAGCTAATTGTTAGCTAACTTAGCAGCAACGACGGATAAATACAATAATACAGCACTGTTATGGGGTCGACGCTTTGTTTTTGTTTTTTCGGTTGTTACGGACGGTTAAAACAAACGACACCATACCTTACGTCTGAACGCCAACAATGATGACCGCTACCAGCCCTGCTCTGAAAGGTTATTTCGGGTTTCTGCTTGTTTTAATGTGGGCTGCGTCTCCTTCTCGGAAGTAGGCGCGGTCAAACAGTGACGTGCTTGTTCTTCAGAAAGTCTTAGACCTTAGATTACAGCTCGCGTACTTTATAACATAATAATGAAATAAACGAAAGAAACAAAGCTCTTAAGTTTGTGTGGATTCACATAAAACGAGTGTAGTACTTGTAGTGCTACCAATAAGCCAAATGAGGGTTGTTGTACTTCCATCCATTTTACTTAGTAAATGTAGCACCAGGAAGAAAAACTAAATTAGTTGAAACCGCTGTATTTCTGAAATTAGTCTGTATGCTATAACCGTTTTTTTTGTTTTTTGTTCTGTCTTTTCTGAACATAATACGCACAAGTTTATGAGCCCCACCCACCATAAACCCAACACTTCCTTATTACTCTGTTGTTCCACACTTCACATAAATATGCAGTTTTCCCTTCTTAAAGCAGTATTAATAGGACACAGCACGAGACCTGTATATAAAAAGACACATACACCTTTAAGACAATGTGAAAGTGTAGGCTGTTCTTTACTGTCCTTGAAAAGCTTTGGCCCTCTTTTGTAAGCCATGCATACTACTTGTGACATTCTTGTGAAAACATTTTGTGTGGTAAATTTCAGTGCCCAATACATTCAAACAGGGTGACGCATTACAATACAGGGCGGACTGAATCAATGTGAGGAAATAAACTTCCTGCTGTACTTTGGTCTGTTTATTCATGATTCATAATTCCTGCTTTTTCCCAGTGTTTTTCTAAACATTCCTTTAAATGAAATCAACCACATTTGAAAAAAAATACAAAAACTTCAGAGGATTATTTTATTTATTTATTTAAATTTGTTTTTACATTTAGAACAACCTACAGAAGAGAAAGTACAACTTGTACTAAAGTGTCTGGAATCAAATGTATTTAAATACAAACGTTAATCATAAGTGTAAATGGACATTTAAACTTACAAATGAACTTAATACCTCCTTACAAATTAACTTAATACCTCCTTACAAATTAACTTAATACTTGTGTCCTTCACATGTCAGGTCATTTTTGTATGACCTCCACATGACCCCTGTTCACAATTACTTGGCAAGCATGCAGAGATTCAAATTTATTTAATGGATTTATACTGAAGTTTAAAACTGAGACTTAAAAAAAGAGTGATTTCATATTAACATGAAACCAGGTTATTATAAGCAAAAGGAAATGTTCAAAAACTTGTGGAAACTGTTTATCAAATAGTGTTTTCTAAACATAAAAGTGAACATTATATGATCATTCATATGCCGCAATGTGAAATCATATTAAAACAAAATATGATGACTTTTGTGACACTCCACGTAGCCAAACCATTTATATCATATCGTATATCTGGGTACACGGGCCTTTCTTAACTTTCTTAACTTATCCAGATTTTCCCTGAAATCCCTGAAAAGACCACAGACAGGAAGAGACCATTATTCAGTCATATCAAATCACAGGATCTTCACATTCACAGAATGGAAATTACTAGAATTGTCCAAAATTATCTCTATATTATGCTAGCAACCTCCTGAGGTATTTAATACAAATTTTAACAACAATTGAGAAGTGAAGCTACATATACTTAAGCAATTTTAATTCATAACATGTGTATACATT